GTTCAGGAATAGAATCAAATTTTAGGGGTAGGAGACTAGGGATATTTTTTGTTGACCTCACTAACGATACATTTAGAGTTTCTCTACGTTGATTTCAGATTAAATTGTAATTTATTTCGACGCCTCTGATATCATGATAAGACAGGAATGAGATGAAATGGTATATATGATATATAAATATATATAAAGTTGTGAACTGTGTAACCTCTCTCAACATACGGGGACTGGATTTTTAAAAAATGTAAATATTTCCTGCAATAAAATAGATGTTCTCCAAAATTGAATATACAGTAGAACTCATAAAACTGTGGTACAAGAGGACGACATTTAAGAAATCTTATGTTTTAGGTTTTCCAGCAGTCTCTGTAAAATACATGAATCGTCATCATTCATGATCTGAAACATACAGTCATCAAGTCATACAAGTCATACAAGTCATGCAAGTCATACAAGTCATACAAGTCATACAAGTCATACAAGTCATACAAGTCATACAAGTCATGCAAGTCATACAAGTCATACAAGTCATACAAGTCATGCAAGTCATACAAGTCATACAAGTCATAAAAGTCATACAGTCAGACAAGTCATACAAGTTATACAAGTCATACAAGTCATACAAGTCATACATGTCATACAAGTCATACACGTCATACAAGTCATACAAGTCATACAAGTCATACAAGTCATACAAGTTATACAAGTCATACAAGTCATCTTCCTATTCATCAGTGTTTTTAGGTCTCACTGAATTTGACGAAAATTGAATTAAAAAATTAAAAGTTTAAACCTGTTCATCGGATCAATCGGCACCTTTAAATTGCTATAATTTCTTCTCGATAATAAAACAAATTCTTTGAATTCAAATATTACGTAGGTTTTGATTCTTGCGTAACTGTACAAAATATGGATATTTGCAAAACAGCGCGCTAAAATTCAGCAGTGGTTCCAGGGCACTGCATGCATGATATAACTGCATTATATATGTTATAAACCAACCAATTATATAAGAGTACAAAGTTATACAGATTCTAAACCGTTTTCAACTAAGAGTATAAAGTTATACAGATTCTAAACCGTTTTCAACTAAGAGTACAAAGTTATACAGATTCTAAACCGTTTTCAACTAAGAGTATAAAGTTATACAGATTCTAAACCGATTTCAACTACGAGTACAAAGTTAAACAGATTCTAAACCGTTTTCAACTAAGAGTACAAAGTTATACAGATTCTAAACCGATTTCAACTAAGAGTACAAAGTTATACAGATTCTAAACCGTTTTCAACTACTAAAACATAAATTTGAAAGAAAACAAAATAGTTGTTTATTATTTTCTGAATTGAACATCGCTTTCTTATCCAGCACGCTGAGTTTTAAGGATATATTTTAAAATCAAATTAATTTTCTAGATCTTAAGTACTAACTCAGTCAAGTTTTGAGCTCTCATTCGAAATCTATAAAAATATCGAAAAAGATATTTTATACTGAAATATCTAGAACACACAAACCAACAAAAAGTTGCAAATAGTAAATATGAAAAATATACGTTTAAAGGGTATAATTAAAAGCTTACTGGCTCACAAACCAGGATCTCTTGTTTATAAACTGTGCGCTGAAGAGATAAAAGTTAAAGAGGAACAAAGATCTAATCTTTTTATCTTGATATGTTTGGAACCTTAGAGTGGTTAATACTTAGATTATTTTTTTCAACAGAATTCATATGGTTTGAAATATCAAAGGTCTACAACATATGGAATACAAAACGCATAAAAGTTTTGTTGAAAAATATAATTTAAACCTTTTTTTACAGCCTGAATCATTGGCTCGACGCAGACAACATATACCGAGAGGTAATAATCGTAAAATGCATTCATTATTGAAAAATCTTTCTTTTGGTCAAATTTTTAAAATTCAATTTGAATTTTGATGGCTTAGAGATATAAATGATATAGTTTTATACATGCGTGGGTTAAGTTTTTATTGTGGGGGGCGGGGTTTTACAAACTATTAAAACTGACTGCTACCGAAATGGAATGTGAGGAATGATTGACAATATTGTCATTTTACGACGATGAGAGATGCAAAGACAAGCATCAACTGAAATTCTACGAATTTTCTTAAATTCCTAAATTTTTCACAAATATATTTCGAAAGGAACACTAATTCTTGGCTTCAGTGGAGTAGAATAATGAAATCTGAAGAAACGAATTTTTTCTGAATATTTCCTCAAATTATTTTTTGAAGAAGTCAATTTTCACCGAACCTACCCTATTTAAAGATTATATGGTTTTCAACCTAACTGACCCTGTACAACCAGATAATTTTTTTCTTCTACAGTAGTAATGCTTTTTCTCATTTAAAAAGCAATATTATTTAAGGCGTGCGGTGTCCTACTAGTTTAAACTTGTGTAAAATTTCGTGCAGTAGTTAATTATCTCTTTATCCCTCTCTCTATCTTTAGCGCTCTTTCTCTCTCTCATTTGGTTTCTTAAAAATAAGTATTTGGGTAAAAAAAAAGTTTTATAAATAATGAAGAAAAAATCTATGAAGTATAAAATCTGAAGTTTCTAATTTGCCGGGAAAACTTTTAAAATCCCTTTCAATATATATATAAATACTTTATATATTATATATATATATATATTTGGAAAATGCGAGAATGTCAGATGAGTTTTATTGGAATAGAAATTGGGAAAATGGAAAAAGAATTAAAAAGTTAACGTAGACCAATGATGAAAATAATTTATCTAAAAGAAAAGTTTAAAGTTTTCCAACTTTAAAATCAAATTTTAAAAAATGCAAAATTTACATTTTCGAAAAATATCAGTTTATATTTCCAGGATATATTTCAATTATTTCGACTAAACTTGCTGAAAAGCCCTCCCAACCCTCCATACCTAAAGTTTACGGCCATAAGATTTATGTAGGTTCTGGGCTGTATAATTTGTACAGTTTAGCATGTACGCATGAGTTTACCATAGTAAACTTATTTTTACTATTTTCATCTTTATTCCATCTGTACTTCCTACTTTTCCCCAACTTTTATCCCTCTCCTACTCTTCCTTTTACTCCTACTCCTATCCTACTCCTATCCTACTCCTATCCTACTCCTATCCTACTCCTATCCTACTCCTATCCTACTCCTATCCTACTCCTATCCTTTTCCTATCCACCTCCTATCCTACTCCTATCCTACTCTTATCCTACTCCTATCCTACTCCTATCCTACTCCTATCCTACTCCTATCCTACTCCTATCCTACTCTTATCCTACTCCTATCCTTTTCCTATCCACCTCCTATCCTACTCCTATCCTACTCTTATCCTACTCCTATCCTACTTCTATCCTTCTCCTATCCACCTCCTATCCTACTCCTATCCTACTCTTATCCTACTCCTATCCTACTCTTATCCTACTCTTATCCTACTCCTATCCTACTCCTATCCTACTCCTATCCTACTCCTATCCTACTCCTATCCTACTCCTGCATGTCTCCTACCCTCTGGTTTCCCCTTTAATTCTTTCCCCCAAGGGATTTAATTTCCCCCTAGCTGAGAAAATGCGGGAATAAATGGCAGAAAATAGATGGCAGAAAATGTCTGATTGTTGGAAGAATTATTCTTCTTCCTTCTTTATAATATTTTATCAAAATGAAATCTGAATTGTAATATTGTTCAAAAAGTATTGGTATGGGATTATTTCTTAAAATGTCTGTACGCCTAATTTAAAGCCTTTCTTTGATCGATAATGTGGAAGATATTGTTATTTTACTAAGGGTTAAAAGTGTTTAATTCTGATAATTTTTTTCTTCTACAGTAGTAATGCTTTTAGAGAATTCACAATGGAAAATATAAATCATACAGGGTTACCCACAAAGGATGCGGTTGTAAAGACGACCTAACACTCTTAAAATATGACGATCCCAATGTTAGATTCTGTTTTCTGCTCTGCTAATTAAACGATTTGAAAAAAGGAATTGTGACAGAGTAGTCTCTGAAGCCTCATGATTTGTGGTTAACCCTGGATGTAAATGTGATGTGTATTATGTATACATTTAAGGACTTGACTTATCTGCGATTACCTCATATTGACACTAACTAATGAATAATAATTAAACTAACCATTAAAGAGAAAATAAATCTGTCATCCTCGGTGGTTTTAAGATACAGCGAACATTTGTGTTTTTTGTTACATTAAACAGATAAATAAGTTTACTTTGCTGTCATTTAATGTACTAGCTTGGGAACCCAGATTTGCCTGAATTTCACCCTATAAAAGCCAACCCACTCAACTTGGACTTTTAAAAGCAAGCTAGGAACATTCCCGTGGTTCTCTCGAGTTCTCCAATCAAATTTGAGGCAAATCGGTTAAGGGGTTCATGAGATATGATCCGACATACAAACATACAAACAGAGATTTCTACTTCATACATATTGACTATAATGACTAATATTTGTAAATGATTGTGCATGACTATTTCAGCTTTTTTGGGAGGAGAGGGGTTGAATTATAGGGATTAGAAAATTAAAATTGTTGGTAAGCAGTTATGATGTTTTATCTAATATTATAGAAAATCTATATATTATGGAAGTATTAAGTAATACAGTTTTGTTTTCTCTACAACATTCAGATAATTTGTATTTTTATTCAATAACATCGTTTTTTATTTTATTGTTTTTTTATTTACTTTTCAGAATCAACCCGGGGGTCTTTTTAAGATATCTAAAACTGGAGCCAGGTCTATTTCTGGAGAATTACAGGATGTATGAGACTGTACAGACGACCATGAACTCTTAAAAATGCCAACATTGAATTAAGTCTTCTGCTTTGCATATAGTCTTGTTATAATTTGTCTTAATTATTTGACAAAGAAAGAAACAGTTTACAGTTTCTGGGAATCATAAATATAACGAAACAGAAAGTATAAATTCCGCACAGTCGTCTTTGAAGTATCATCCTCCCTGGGTAACTGAGCATTTTTTCCTTTTATTTAATTTACCTTAATACTGTCATAGCATGCGGTGACCCGCCCATTTTGCACCTCAACATTAGGCGGTGGGTGGGCAAATTTACATTCAGCATCCGGTCGAGAACATTTCTGACGTTGAAATTCCCTGCAGACTTCAAGCTGCAGCCATCTGCTGTCTTTCTGATTCAGCATAGAGCTGACGTTCAGCATGGTGATAGGAGCCGGACCCACGTAGGATGGGAAGGACATGATAGAAGCTGCTGACATGGATTCTTTTCAGCTAATCAAGAGAATCCAAGATCACAGATATAGTACTAATCAAGAGCTTGTGGAGGGTTAAGGTTGGGACGAATATTACATAATTTTGTCCGGGTATGTTTAGCCCCAACACTGGGCTGGTTTCCGACAGAGCTGAATCAAATCTCAGATATCAAATGTCACTTCTTACTAACTTGTGTAAGTTTAACTGTCTGTGCACTAAAGATTACAGCACAGAACACTAAATATGAAATATCTTTGAAAAGTATATATAAAGGTTGTATTAATCAAGGATTAGAGGGGGTAAATCTATTTAAGCAGGAGATAAGCTTGCACTTGAAAACTGTAGCGGGTTCACTACTGGCGTGGTTTACAAAGCAAAGTCTCTTGGCGAATGCAAGCAGTGAATGTGAGGGGTTTGGATGGGTAGACGGTCTGGGGGGAGGGGGCGAGACGGTCCTACTGCATCGGGTTCACAAGCAACATGTGTTACTCCAACAGCTCGTAATTTGCCACTGAAACCGGTTTCGGACCGTCACTGCCGGCCTGGACCGGACCCCACGTGGGTATATTCGCCGGACTGCAATATATCGGTAGGGTAGAAGATATTTTAGATATTGGTGCAAGTTGGGCAACCATTCGTGCCAGTACAGCTAGATTTCTGAAACAATGAACCCGGTTTAGTACGAGCAGATGCAGCTTCAAGTCGAGCCTGTACTACTAGTCAATACATTCCCTGGTACAGCTTTTCCCCCAGTAAAATTAAGTACGAGACGGGTTGGGAGAACAGCTGTAAGGAAACAAAGGGAGCCTCGGAATAAAGGGGATGCTGTTTCCCCGCCCCCCCCCTCCCCCCAACATACCCGACACCCATACCAATAAGCCTGAGAGAGGAAAGGGGACAGAGGGAATTTTAGGATGATGGGAGAGGGGGGGGGGGAATAAATGATGTTCTAACATGAAAAACTTCCAATATCTGCATGTTATCCCGCTACTATAGTCCTGCTGTACTTTACCGGAAGTGAATCAACCCGGAAGTAAAAGCCTAAGTTCTTTCTGAACCATCCCTTAACATATTCGATTTTAATTAATTGCTGAAACTACGTATTTAATTAAATATTATCTACCCCACCCATAAAGATCATCTTCCCCCTAAAAAGATCCTTTTTTATACAAAATAAACCTTCAATGCGCGCATGTCAATTGAAATTTGAAGGTGTTAAAAGAGCGCAAAACCTTTCTCAATTAAACTAAAATATGTCGTTCTTATGTTGAGTTAAAATTTTTTTATATAAGTTGTTGTTGGGTCGCAATGCAGAACTTTACCATTGCAGCAGTTACAGTAATTTATAAATTAAGAACGCAGCAAATTGAAGGAAATTAAATTATCAAAATATTTAGCAAATAATACAAACAGATAAATAATAAAGATAAAAGTTTTTTGCTGATCCAAAATGACTCGAGGAGAAAATCTTTATAGTATCAAAAATTATTAATATTCATGTTCGCATTTAAAACTATTTTTGTAATTATTTTACTTTTTATTTAACATCTCCTTCATTAACTTTTTATTTTATACTTTTTCATATTTATTTACTTATCATGTTTTTATTCACTTTTCATTTCACACTTCTTTAAATTTATTTACTTTTTAGTTTTCACTTCTCTATGTTTAATAACCTTTCAATTTACACTTCTTCGTATTTATTCAATTTTCAATTTGCACTTCTTCATATTTATTTAATTTTAATTTATAATTCTTTGTATTAATTTAATTTTCATTTTACACTTCTTCATATTCATTTACTTTCATTTTACACTTCTTCATATTCATTAAGTTTTTATTTTACACTTCTTCATGTTTATTTACTTTTCATTTTATACTTCTTAATATTCATTTACTTTCATTTTACACTTCTTCATATTCATTAACTTTTTATTTTACACTTCTTCATGTTTATTTATTTTCATTTTACACTTCTTCATATTTATTTACTTTTATTTTACACTTCTTCATGTTTATTTACTTTAATTTTACACTTCTCCATATTCATTAACTTATAATTTTTCACATCTTTATATTTTTTTACTTTTTATTTCATACTTCTTCATGTGTATTTACTTTTATTTTACACTTCTTCATATTTATTTACTTTCATTTATTCTTCTTCATACTTATTTACTTTTTATTTTACACTTCTTCATATTCATTTACTTTCATTTTACAATTCTTCATATTTATTTACTTTCATTTTACACTTCATCATATTTATTTAATTTCATTTTACACTTCATCATATTCATTTACTTTTCATTTTACAATTCATCATATTCATTAATTTTTATTTTACACTTCATCATATTCATTTACTTTTCATTTTACACTTCCTCATGTTTATTCACTTTCATTTTACACTTCTGCATAAATATTATTTATTCATTTTACACTTTACACACTATTCTTTAACTTCTTTTTATTTTTATTTTTATTCATATTTATTTTTAACTTTCTTTGAAGCAATTTGTCATAGTAACATTTAACAGATGAATGTTCACAAAGTTAAAAATGTTTTAGTGCCATGTGCACAAGTTTTCTGAGCATAGCGGCTTTACTTTTAATTGAAAATATGAAATAAACATATAGAGTACTTAACAAGCAATAAACATAATATTAAAGGTAATCCGATTAGCATTTTTAAGAAGATAATTTCAAAGGAAAAGGTTTTTAAGGAAGTTTGATAAAATTTTACATAATTCTGTGAGAATATCAAGAAGCTGAGTTGTAATTTAACCATGAATTGTGGCTAATTAACATTTCACTCAATTTGTATAAAAACATGAGCATGATATATTGAATAATGTGGAAGTGCCTATTTAGCCTGTATCCGACTCATCTATAAGTTTAACGAAAGGGACTGTAAACATAATTTTAAAGCAAATATTCGCATACCCGATTCACCACGGTGCCCTTTGCACCTGTATCCGAGTAACGATAAGGAGGATATCTTCGTTTTTTTACCATAAAAATATTTATTCTATCAATTTTCTTCCTCATCTCTGCTGAATAAATCCATTAGTCTCTTATACACAGAAACAACGAAATAATCGACTTTTAGATAGAAAAACAAACATATCGTTTTTGCTAAGACGATGGTTTAATGGGTACCTTTGTAAATCTGGCATGCTACTCATTTATAAATAGAGGTTTACTTGAAATTGCGCCAAGTGTCCCATTAAAGTACACAGAGACAGTACGGATGTAAAAAACTTTGAATTTAAAAATACATTTTAGAGGGATCGTACTTTCATCATGACGACCTTCAACTCTCTCATTCTAAATAAATGATTTGGCCTTTGGTCTTCATTTTTTCCGAAAGGAATTGAGTCTTTGGAATCTAATGTTGTAGACCTTTGACATTTCAAACTATGACTTCTGTTAGATAGAATAATATAAGTTTAAAATATCAAAGGTTTACGACAGTGTTTTCCAAAGATATAAGGATTAAAAATCAGAGTTTGTGGCAAGGACTCAATTCCTTTGTTGCAACACAGAAAACAAAATATTTCAAACCTAAAGAGAACCAATTATGTGAGAAAAAAGACTAATAAAATTCCGTATAAAATCGTCTTTAAAAGCTCTTTTTCTCGGGTTTTCTATAGAAAGTTAGTATTTTTATCAGACTATCATTTATTTTAAATTAAAATAGAACAATAAAATTTGCCTGAACAGCGAACAGTGCAAATATACTTCTTCATGTTTATTTATTTTCATTTTACACTTCTTCATATTTATTTACTTTTATTTTACACTTCTTCATATTTATTTACTTTCATTTTACACTTCTTCATATTCATTAACTTTTTATTTTACACTTCTTCATGTTTATTTATTTTCATTTTACACTTCTTCATATTTACTTTACTCCTTCCTTGCATCTAATTGAGCCATAGTATGAACTTTAATTAAACTCAAACAGAACTATCGATCTTATAATATTACAAAGAAAATAATAAAGAAAATTTAGATTAAAAGTTCTTAAAAGGGTCAGTTTCATATATTCACATAGTAACCTTTGAAACCTTTATTTAAGAAAAAAAAACTTTGGAAATCATGGCAGATTGCGCAAGTTATCAATTTACCATTTGTAAAACGCTTAAATCATCTCTTGGTAATTTTTCTGGCGTTGTTTTTTGCTGGTGTCATTATTGCCAGCGTCATTTTTGCTAGCGTCGTTTTTGCTAGCGTCATTTTCGCTAGCGTTATTTTTGCTAGCGTCATTTTCGCTTGCGTCGTTTTTGCTAGCGTCGTTTTTGCTAGCGTCGTTTTTGCTTGCGTCGTTTTAGCTGTATGTTCATATAAAAACGTAATTATTGCTGTAAGTTCCTTTAAAAAACGTCATTTTTGTTTCCTGACAGCTTTTCTAAAAAATATCTCCATCATAGAAGTGCCGCATGCTACATAAGGGTCCGAGCATTGCGGTTAGAGCAGGCTAGGGGAATGTATTCCAATAATGTTGTGAAACCTATAAATTCGAATATTTTAAACATGAAACAAAAAATCAAACAATTGCAATGTAGTTTTAGACCAAAAATGTTTAAGCTTAACAAAAAATCAATTTTTGTTATAGGGATCTTTTAAAAACCCACATCTTGAGATTTCACAAGCCTGTGGGCCCAATCGGTCCAGACGTTTCGGCGTTTATTTGAACCCAACATTCCAACCAACAAACATACAGACTAGGCTACATACAGACTGTGTAGTGTATGTAAGGTTTATGAAGGTTACTGTGTTATATAACATATGGAGAAAGAGAGAGAGGGGGGTTTAAGCTTAGGATAAAATTGTTTAGTAAACCGGGAACGTTATCCCTGAAAGAATTTGTGATTTTATTTTTAATCATATTAAATGTATAGTCGAGAAAACAGGGTTGAAAAATAGATTATGTGAGTTAGTTATACAACTTTAACATAATTGCCATTGACCCTCTGCACTCTGCAAGCAGAATTGCAAGAATTTGAATTATTTGCAACATTTTTGCAAACTCCTGGATAATTGCTGGAGTATCATCTGCAGAAAATCACGTGATTTCAAGTGAAAACAATGTTCATAGGTTTTTAGAAAGTTCATATTTTTATACAATAATCTTAAGTCGGTTGAAACTTTAATCTTTAATCAAACCCTGTAATTAAATTCATTAGTTTCGAAATAGTTTTCAATGTGTAGAGTGGAACTCGTAATACTGTGAAATATGAATACGACTGTCAGACTCAAGTTATGATTTTGCATGGTCTATTTGAACATGAAGTATATGAATTGTGCAGTGAAAACAGACCCATTTCACTTAATAAGTGGATTTTTTAAGCTATTTGATCGTAAAAACATTTATACTTTATAAAAACGACAAAAAAATAATATTGCTTAATTGTCGTCTTCATACTCCACATTTTTCAGGGTCCCGTTGAAAAATATTTCAATTCTAAAAATCTGCATTTTCGCTATTTTTAATATTATTCGGTTTAAA